GTTTGTTTTTATATTGCCTAGAACAGCAAAATAATATTATAGCCAGGTATAGTAGAACTTCTCTGAAATCACAGCCAAAGTTGACCTTGGAACAGAAAGGTTTCTGTTCCACGTTCAAGGTTGGCCTGGGTTGATTATTAGACTATTGTCTCACAAAGTCAAAGGCTACAGGGTAAATCTGTGAACGAGTACTTTGCCTGAATGCACAAAGTTCTGGGTTGTGCGCTCAGCACTTCATAAATATGTTAAAAATTATCAGTTAGAATTAAACATATATGTAGGGAGTAGGGTTTTTCCTCCCACCGCTAGTCTGCTCTCGCAACCTCACCAGCCCCAATTAACACAATGAGACTCTGTATTTGATATGATGCTGTTGGCCAGGTACTAGTTTCTTATCGGCTAGCTCTGCCTTAATTATTAACCCATTTCTGCTGATCTATGTATTTCTCTTACCAGGGAGCTGGCTGGCATTCTGCTTTCTCCAGACTCTCCATCTTGACACTCCTTCCGACTTCCTCTTTCCCGCTAGTCTCCTAGTCCCACCTATCTAGCTTTCTTATTGCCAACAGTGCTTTATTCATTAACCAGTATGAGAAACATATACAGATTGACATCTCCCATCATCTCCTCTTTTCTGTCTAAAATAAAAAGAAGGGTTTTAACCTTAAAATAGCAAAATATATAACACAACAGTTATCAAATAGAACGGCAGTTAACACTATTTAGTCCATTAACATTTAGCAAGATTTGAAGAAAATATTCCATCATCTATTTTATCTTTGTGAGTCTAAAGTCCTATATGTAACTTATCTTTAAGCTTAACTAAGGAAAACTATAACCATAACTATCTGTCTTCAACTCCTTCAAAGACCACAGAAGGATAATATATAAACTCTAGAAATGACATCTTGCCTTGTCAGTCACCTGAACTTCTTCTGTAATCTTCAATTCAGCCCATAGGCCATAGCGTGTCTAGCAGACTCTTCAGCAAAGCAGGAAACTTTAAACTATCTTCTTGTATTGGCAGTTTGTCAGTCACTTTTCTCTGTGTCCTGCAGACTGTCTGACAGACACTTCCATGAAGCAGGAACGCTGTAGCAATGTCCATCTTGAATCAGCAGTCACTTTTCTGTGGGTCCTGCATGTCCAGTTTATACAGCACAAAGTCAAACAGGCCAGACAAGAGCAGTATCTTGTCCAAATGGCTAGTCTTGCCATATTGGAAGTAAACTCCATAATGAGTTTCTTCAGTGTCCATCTTCCTTTCTGATGCAGGTGATGTTGCCAGGCACAATTATGTCTCACTGTCAAGAAAAACCCTAAGCCATTTTAAATGCCATATTCTGTAGGTCTTTGAAAGGTTTGAAGAATTCCTATCTACCTTAAATACATCTCTGTGTATCTTGAAAAACCTAACTAAACTCTAAGCTTTGACTATTATAGGTAATTATTTATAATCTGTACTACATTATACATTACATTTCTAACTGAGCTAAATAAACACAATACCTAAACAAGAGTAGAAATATACATATAACCTTATTGACCATAAATAGTATCATTAAATGAAAATCCATTCCAACACAAAGTATTCATATCTATATCATTAACCAGTATGAGAAACATATATACATAATGGCATCTCCCATCACATATATCCAATGATTTGGGTCAAACAACCTCTTTCAGAACAGTACCAGTGACTATCAAGAAAAAAAATAGTACAAGCATGGCCTGAAAGAGCATACTCCAACTCATCTAGGTGCATTACATTTAGTTGAATTTTCCTCATCTTGGGCTAAGGTGTCACCCATTTTTAAGGGTCCTTTAGATATTTGTAAATGAGAAGAGTCTGTTTCTATGAAACAGTGAGTGGCAGATCCCAGGACAGATCTCATGGAGCAGTGATCTCCTCAGAGATGTGATGGTGGATGTCCTTCAGAATATATGTTTTCTTTACTGGTTGATGAATAAAACAGTGGTTGGTGAATAGATGCACGAAGGTAGGTGGGTCTCCGGGATGAGAATTTTGGGAAAGGCAGGCAGAGGGAGCCCACCAAAGGGAGTTGCCATGTAGACCACAAAGGAGTAGCATTCTCCACGGAGTAAGGCAAGACCATGTAGACATACATAGATTGGTAGTTGCGGGTTAATAATTAAGAGTGAGCTAGTCAATAAAAAGCCAAGCCATCAGTCAACAGCCTAGTAGTTAATACAGCTTCTCTGTGTGTTTAGTTTGGGCTGAGGAGGATGGTGGGACAAAGAAAATTCTGCAGCAAAGATGAAGTAATGCTTTATCTACCAGGCAATCAAGTGCAAAGCAGCTGTGCTATGGGAAACTCACAAGCCATTTTCTATAGAGGAGATAGAAGTTGCACCCCCCAAGGCCCATGAAGTTCGCATTAAGGTAACTCCCCCTTTGACCATCTAGGTTTGAAAAACTCAGAAAACATGAGGCCCATCCAAAACTCCATTAACAGCCCCTTTAAGAAGCTTGTCCTCACAATGAATGAATCTGTTACTAATGCAAGCTATTGATAACAACTGCTAAAAGTTTGAAGTGACTAAAATATGTTTAAAATAATCCCTGAAAACAATGTAAATATTTTGTATTTCTAAAGTGCTAAGCATCTTGATTCCAAAAAGCAATTAATATCCAAAAAGCCATTAATATTAGGTAATTTCTACGTGCTTTTTTCTTATTTCTATTTCCATAGCCAGCATGCACTTTTGTATACTGTATAAAATACATATCTCAGGGTCAATTACTCACAAGATGATCATTGATGCTTAAGCTGTTTATTGGGAAAAGATAGGTGTAAACACGAGAAAACCTTGGACCTAAGTGGAATATTTGAATTTGGAATCAATGGGGAATGTTAGCCAACTCTTTGAAAGCACAGGTTCAGAACAGTGTGTTAAACCCCACAGTGGCGAACTTCGCTAAGTGAACTGCATGTCTAATTTATAGATGGTGGCCACCGGGGTCTGCCGATCAGACGATCATGTGATTAGTGGAAACTTTGTCACACCTCTTCCTGCAGTTTTAGGCCACGAGGGAGCCGGTATTGTGGAGAGCGTCGGAGAAGGGGTGACTTCTGTGAAACCAGGTACAGAATCCCTTACCCTTGAGGCTTGGGTTTGGTTTGATGCCTAAGAGAGGACGCCTAGGCAGTAGGAGACATGAGAGCTGGCAGAGGGTGACAGAAGGTTCTCTCCCCCTGCTCACCTCATGCCTCAGTCCTGTTATTTTTAAGCATGCCTTTTCCTTTCAGCGTCTATTTATTATATAGTAGATGTCAGGCATCAATTTAGGGTCTCCAATGTGACAATGAGGAAGCATTGTGACCATAAGTGTGGCGTTCATAGTCTGCTAACTTCTTCGTTAATATCACTGAGTGCTGCAGACTTTCAAGAACCAACAGACATAAAAAGGGGGCAAGGTCAGAACATGCAGGCCCAGGATCTGAGTGCCTACATGTACAGACGCTGTTCTGTGCTGAGGTCAGGGACCCTACTGCTTGCCTCCGTTGCAAGATTCCCCTTGGCAGGTTACCCCACTTGCAGGAAATAGTAGTTTTAACTACATTGCGTCAACACGATGGCTTCCTCTTCTCCCACATGTGCTTCCTTCTTGAATAAAGGAAAATAAAATGTAAGGGGAAACTCCAGGGGGAAAAGCATGGCCAAGGCCTCCGTACTCAAATATTTTATTATCACTGATTGCAGCTGATAGTACTAGATTGCACATTACTTAGCAGGATTTCCATGGTTTTAATTTAAGTTTCACTTTTCAGAGGTAAAGGGTGAGTAACAATAAAACTTCCATGAGTCACATCACATTCATTTCATCTGCGAATCATAACAATCAAGCTATTTATGTGGTTCAATAACAACTGGCACACATGATAGAAAAATGGACTTTATGTTCATCTCCAAGGAGATCACTTCAGCCAGTAGAGTCAGACATCTCTTTCATTCCAAATAATCAGGAGGTAAGAAAAGGACTAGTCTGGCCAGAGTCAAGCTTTTGGAATTGCATTTGTTTGACAAAAACTGACAGTAAAAATAAATCTTTACTTCTCAGAATGCTTTGTCTATAGCATAAAATAATGAAAATTCAGTAATAATTATCTAAAAGAGCAGAAGTCAACTTTTATTTCATAGGAAAATGTATAATTCATTGTTAGGAACTAAGATTTCCAAAGTAAGTTGTCCCTTCTTGTCACACTTTAATATACTTCCTCCAAATACAGCTGGGATTATTATTTTAAGTATTCATTTAACACTAAGAGGAATACAGTCACTTTGAAATGCCAACCCCTAGGTGATGGAGAAATGAATCTGTGATTAAAGACACATCATGTTCCACTAGAGCTCCCAGTTGGACATTTCACAATGATCTGTACTCCAAATCTAGGGGACCCAACCCACCTGCTGGCCTCTTAGGGCACCCCCACACAAGCATAGAATTTTGGAGAGATGTGACATTTTTTCTAATAAAATCCTATGCTAACATAGTAAGTTGGAAACTCATTGCCACTAAGGCATATATTTATGCTTAGCAGTGAGAATATCCATCTTTGATTAGCTGATTTTACAATTACTCTTTCTTTTTGGGGATCTTCAGGCACATATGAACATGTATGAATAACAAGGCTGGGAAGTAACGACCCATGAATTATAGTGCGGTCGGGTCCTATCACTAGGTGACTTTTCAAAGACACGTGCCTCTACGTGTGGGTCTCATGTGCTTGCTTCATTAGTTCCTGGACAGACACTGAAGTTGTTTTGTTGTTTCCCTACAGGTGATAAAGTCATCCCACTCTTCTCTCCCCAGTGCGGGAAATGCAGGGTTTGCAAGCACCCGGAAAGCAACTTGTGTGTAAAAAGCCAGTATGTTTCTAATTGTCTTCTCCTACAGTTAGGCAGCACACTGCTTTTATTCTGTCTCATGCCTTGTTATGCCTGTGTTTTACCGTCCAATATGGTAGACACTCAGGGACCATGCTGGACGGCACCACCAGGTTCACCTGCAGAGGAAAGCCAATCCACAACTTCATTAATTCCAGCACGTTCTCGCAGTACACTGTGGTAGATGAGATAGCAGTGGCTAAAATTGATGGAGCTGCACCACTGGAGAAAGTCTGCCTCATCGGCTGTGGGTTCTCAACCGGCTATGGCTCTGCTGTCAAAGTCGCCAAGGTAAGATGAACTGTGGCCTATGAATAAGCCCATGCATACTGGAGGACCAGAAGGGCAGCAATTGCTCAAGGAATCGAGCTTGTTTTTGTAGAAGAGAAATAAGCCTCTCCAACTCCAGTGAGAATTCACTTTACACACTCAAGAAACGCTCTATAATAGTATGGACCCAGTCTGAATAGTTCAAAGAGAAACTGTTCTCTCATAGAAATTATGTGAGACATATAGATCTTGAGCCACAGCATGTTGTCTGCAATGCACTGTTATGTCTCAGTCCCAAGATTCACTTTCAGCAACTAAAGGTGTTTAAAAGAGTCAGAAACTGTCAAGTTTGGTCATCTGGGACATATGGTAGGTTGATAAAGTGGTGATGCCATCATTATTATCTCTAAAGAGAGCCCAAGTTAGAAAAGCATGGCAAAGGAGACTTTTATTTTTATTTTTTGAAACATTCTTACTTTACATATCACTCCCAGTTCGCTCTCCCTAGAATCTTCCCAAGCTCCCCACTGATTTCCACCATTCCTCACCGCATCCACTCCCCATGGAGGGTCAGGCCTTCCATGGGGATCATCCAAGTCTGTCACATCATTTCAGGGAAAGCCTAGGTGCTCCCCCATGCCTCTGTGCTGAGAGAGTATTCCATCAGAGGTAATGGGCTCCCAATGTCCACTAGTGCACTAGGAATACATACCAATCCACAATCAGAGGCCCCATAGATTGACCAGGCCAACTACTGGCACCCACACTCATAGGGTTTGGTTAGGATCAAGGCTGTATTTTTTTTTTAATATACACCAACACTGTTACTGAAAACCAAATTGCCTCAATGGTGGAACTTTCCTGTAAAGAAACCCAGGCTTAGTGATGAACCAGGACTTAGTGGCCCTGTGACCTGTGCAGACTCTCTGAACTGCCTGATGTCCCTTGAAAGAACACCAGGATGAGGCACGGTCTTTAACAGCCAGCTGTGGCCAGGGGTGTCTTCTTTGTCAAGAGGATTGTCAACAAACCTTAACAGAAACATTTTCCCAGAAAACCTAGACTTTAATTGTACTAGAGGTACACCTTTCCCTACAGTTTCTGACACAGCTGTTATTGGACTATCTATGGTAGTGTTAAAGACATTAATCCTTTAGCTAAACTCTACTTTTTCTGACATATTATTTCCTAAGCAAGTTGTCAGCAGAGCCTTTAAAACATTGGTCTATTACTCTAGGATTCTCCTATGTCATTTTCACCGGTATAAGGTGTTGATTAAATTATAAATATAAAATTAAGCCCAAGAGGAATTTAAATGCATAATGAAAATTATGCTGACAGTGATTTAAGAGAAAGTAAATGTTTCACGTTCAATAAATGCATTCTATGTTTATTTTCTATATTACCACCATATTTTAGATCTGGGAACACATACAGTCACTCATTCTATAGTTGGAAACACACAACACTCTGTTGTAGCAGTCATGATGTTAGGTACTGATGCAGTCAGAGCAATTAGTTTGCTCTCTCCCAGCCTCACTCCATAGACCTGGACCAGGGCCACCACTGAGTGGGTCCTAGAATACACAAGAGAGTTTAGCAGAGCATTTCTTACATTCGCTACCTCATCCCTGTTCTTCTTCCCTACTGACAAAACTACACAGTTATGCACACATACATGTATGCAAGCACACACTCACTAAAGGTGATGATTTTAGGCAATAATTTTTAAAAATAGTTTTCTTCCCAGTGGTTGCAACATCTATCATTGGCTTTGATTTTATGAAAGTAAATCCACTAAGATGAAGCTATTTACCTAAATTTTTGTTGCTTGCTGTTAGTAAAGGAAAGACTAGAACTTTTCTCAAAGTGTGTGCTGAGTCTGAAACAAGAGTACATTATGGCTATCATTTCTATCACAATCAAAGGACTTGCTTTTTTCTAGGCAAGGTAGAACGTAGTGATGTACCCCATAGTATTTAAGAATGTGTGAAGGATGAATTTTACAATAGACACCACTAAGAGAAAATTTGTTTTCGTACTTTTCATTTGCTTCTTTAAAGAACTCCAGCCCCTCTCTCCAGTAAGATAAGACCACGTGGAAACACTTGGAGTAATGGAAATGGGTTAATAGTTAAGACAGAACTAGCCGATAAGAAACTAGTAACTAGCCAACAGAATTATAGCAACAATAACAAAAAAAAAAAAAAAAGAACTTCTGATCCATGATCTGATCCATGATTTTAAAACTGAAACTGTGAGCAGAATAATTGGTGAAATGGGATTAATGGCACCCCTGTATAAAGAGTATTTGAAATAATAAACAAAGAGTAAAAAGACCATTGTAATGATATAGCAAGAAAATACAAATACTAAACTTTACAGATAAAAAAGAAAATTTTAAATGAATAGGAAGGTATGTTGTTTTGTGATATAGGATATAATTTTATATCATTTCATTTCCCTGAACACCAACAATAAAGTTACTATATGCTCAAAGATTAAAAAAAAAAATTGCCCATAGAAGCAGGAGGGAGGGCCTAGTACCTACACCAAATGACTTGACAGAATTAAATTGCCCCTCCAGGAAGGCATCATCCTACATGTGGAGTGGGTGGGGGATTGGGATAGGAGGGTGGTCCTGGGGCATGGGAGGGTAGGAGAGAGGGAGGGAAGGAGGGACTTGGAGGGACCTGGGATTGATATGTAAAATAAGAATAAATAAATAAATAAATAAATAAATAAATAAATAAATAAATAATTTGCCATTTAAGTCCCACAAAGATTACATTGGCTCATGCTGGATTTCCTTAAAGTTTCATATCCACCTTCCTGTTGCTTTAAGCCAGGAATGACTTCTTAATGCTTTCCAGCCTTCTTCTGCTCTAATTACCCTGCTTGTGACAACTGACAGTTAGTGACCCAAGGACTTCTTGATGGAAAGGTAGCTTGATTACACTGCAATCTCCTGGATTTCATTTATACAAATTGTGTTTGTGTAGAGTAAGATGTCATTGTATGGCTCTTAAAGATTAACGTCATTTCTGTGTCGATTTCAAAAATCATCCAGTCCAGCTGGTGTCAACTGTGGTTTCCCATTAGAATAGGAATGGGGTTGCTCCTGCAGATAATCCGACTAATTGGTAAATAGGAGGAAACCTCTCCAGTTATGGCTAATATTTCATAAAATTTGAGGTCCAATGATGCTCCACTTTGAGCAACTATGACCAGAAAAGGTTTCACCAGCAGATGGAATGAAGTCTGGGTAGCCCTGAGAGAGGACAAAGTAGGTGCCTGTGCACCCTGGAGCACTTTCTACCAATCGCTGTTCCATCCATCTTTGTATTTTCTGAAAACACAGGTGACCCCAGGATCCAGCTGTGCTGTGTTTGGCCTTGGAGGGGTCGGTCTGTCTGTCATCATTGGCTGTAAAACAGCTGGAGCAGCCAGGATCATTGCTGTGGACATCAACAAAGACAAATTTGCAAAGGCCAAAGAACTGGGTGCAACCGAGTGCATCAACCCTCTAGATTACAACAAACCTATTGAGGAGGTGCTCCAGGAAATGACCGATGGAGGGGTGGACTTTTCCTTTGAAGTAATCGGTCGGCTGGACACCATGGTATGTATTGTGGCATGCCTTGAGATCTGTCCATCTGTCATCTATTATATTCCCTGGACAGCAAAATAGAAATCTTATTTAGAAATCTATTTTTGAGAAGTAATTTTCCATCTCCTGTTTCTTAATTCAGATTTATTTTTTGTTGTTGTGTGTTTGTTTCTTTTAGGAGAAAACCATTTTTAAATGAAAAAATACGTAAGCAATACATCTCAAATATCAGCATATTTAACAACATGAAGTAAATTGTAAACAGAAATAGCTTTCCTAACTGGTACTGTGAATCTGATGCATTAAAATATTGCTTTAGTTTCCCCTTTATCATGATAGACTAAGACTAAATAAAGTAGGAGCTTTTCCTCCATGAATTAAATTGTAATGTGTATCTATCCTCTGTGAATGACACAGAGGATTGTAAAAGTTTTTTTTCCATAGTCAGGAGTTCCCAAAAGGGAGAGTGGGTAATATTTATTTAAAAGCTATTAATATTTAACTCATCCACAAGACTTCACAACAGGTTTCAAAGTGGCCTCTAGTACAATTTTCCTTTTACAGAAGTTTGCATATCCCGGGATGGTTTATGGACACACTGGTTAATTAAAATTTAAAAATATTAGCATTATTGTTTTAAGCTGGGGGAACTGTGGACAGAAGTCTCCTACCAAACAGTTCATTATACAGATGTTCCTAAAATTCCCGCATGTCAACTAAAAGCACTAGAAAACACAGCAAACATCACACTCAAGGAATGATAGAACAAAAGTCATTAAGCATTTATGGCTTTTCATGGGTTCAACTATATTACTAAACATAAATAAAGTCATCACTGCTTAAAGGATTTTTAGAAAATGCATATTTACAACTTAACATTTCTATTAAATCAAGTTAAAAAATGTTCCTTGTAGAAAAGTCAAGAATATTAAAAAAATCAAAATATATTTATTTTTACAATATATGTATATATTAGCAGAAAACCACTTCAGAGATTTTCTTTTGAGTTTAATTATATTAAAGAAAGCATAACAGTGTATATTAACATGGAACATCAGGAATTCACTCTTCATCCTACACTCTATGACTTGGCCTCCTCTACAATACTTTACACCAAAGACTAAGAACAAACTTGGTTTTAACTAAACAGTAGTTGGTAATATCTATCTCACTACATCACCTATGCATTATTTTCAAAAAATAACTAATGAGTTCCATATAACAAATTGTTCAGGTGTAATAATAGCCAACTACACCTCTTACCATTTGAATTACTGTTTAAAAAAATTCAGTAACATAGAAAATTTTAATCAAATGAGATAAGTACTTCAATCCCATATTGCTTGCCCATTATTAAAACTCTTAATAGAAATTCTATATATAATCTGACAAGCTCTAGGCAATGACATATATATGTGTATAAATGCATGCAAAAGTATATGTACATATCCACATACATCTTCAACTTTAGATTTTTAAAAATCTAATTTAAGGGTAATATATTATCAATGAGTGAAAGTTTCATCACCTAGTGAGAAATACTAAGCACAAAGAACTGTCATACAACTCATGGTAGGATTACAACTTACTCAAGGTAGAGTGAAATAACAAACTATCCACCAAAGAAAACTTTTTTCTCTTCTTTTGTTATGGTCATCTAACAGCAAAAGAAGAAATATCTGTATAATATGCTTTCAATGTCAAAATTATTATAGACATGTCCAGGTCTTCCAAAATATAAAACATTACATAAATGCATTTTCCTTGTTGAATTCCTCAGGTGGAAACTACACTTTTAAAAATCTCTTTGGATTAAGCCTTTCTGCAGCTCTGACAAATGGCTCAGGTTTATTATTTATATAGGAATCACATCTTTCAGAATTTGCTACTGTTACCTTTCTAAAAAAGTACTGTTACCACTGACTAAAGTAAATAGAAGGAACTGCATCAAATATAAAAAAACTACTTAATGAAGCATTCAAAATATGTAATACAAAGAAGAAAAGGCAACATGAATTTCTTTTTCATCACACAAGAAAACACAACCTTTTTCCTGTTGCTACAGTAACTGTGAGAAAATGGATTAATGTGGCCCAACTTTACTTTCAATTAAAAAGCTAATACAGTAGAATGAATTATGGCTTTTATTAATATGCACAGCAAATTGCTGAAACAGAGACTTCATGTTGTATTCCCATTAAAGGTGGCACTTGTAGGTACAAGGATGCAGAGAAGTGTACAGATCAGATGATTAACTGAAAAGACTTTTACAGCAGTTTGATATTGCGTTTCACAGATTCTCCACAATCAAAGTGATGCTTTGATTTAGATGACTAACTAATTTTCTAGTAATCTGGCTAGGTTCTCCTCAAGAAGAGACACACTAATAGGACATGTCACAGGAACTCTCTGAAATAGATGGTTACTATTACAGTGGTCCAATGAACGCTGTCTGGTGAAATTTGACTCTTCACATAAGGGACACTTATGTGGGATGCCCAGAAGAACTTGTGTTATCAGATGTTTCACTGCTGTTACTGCTCTTACTGAATCTTGAGAAATTTTATAAGTTTGAAATGACAGAAAAAACACCGCAGTCATCACGACACTTCTTAAAAGACGTGTAGTGATGTCTCATGCGTTAGAATTTAGTCTTTTGAACAGCATCTGCAGCTACCAGAAAACTTCCTCATGATATTTTCAAGATCTATGGCTCGTTCTGGACCAAGGCTCGCTCAGGAAGCCCAGATTCTTAATTCTGTGTTATGATAACCTCTCATTTTGTATCATTACTTGATACACACTTGTATCAAGTAATTCTCCTCCTGTAACAGACCACAGCTTTCAAGGGAGATTTTGTTTTTTCACTCAAAATCAATTCATCAAGCAAACTCAAACATACATTCTGGCCTTAGATGAATATGACATCCTTCCACATTCTTAATTTGAAATTAAATATTTCAATAAGCATTTTGAAGTTTTATCATTTGGCCAAAAGGAATAATGTATAAATTGGGACTGAGTACTATTTTATTAGCATAAAACATGTAGAAGAGTGACTGCTTTAATAGCACATTAGAGACAGCACACTGGGGGGAACCTGCAGTAACACAACTATACATGTTGGAGTACATACTTTCCACAATAAATTAACAGATTCTGCCATACACCCTAATTGAAGAGATATACATTTAGTAGGCTTGTTTATGATCTAAATGGCTTAGTGCCTGTAATATACTTACCATGGACACCCCTACCATGTAGAAAGCGCTCAGGTAAGGTGGGCTGGGTGTGATGATAAGAAATATTATTGCTAAAATTTCACTCCTTGCTCTTTTGAAATACACATAATGTTACTTTCAAATATTGTAAATGCCATCGATTGCTAGAGAATACTTCTCCAGTTACATCTCACCCAACAAGAGATCTCTAAAATTCTAGAGAACTGACCCTTAGAGACCTAACAGATCACCATTACTGGGGCTCTCTGGAAAGCCTTGACAGAGATCGTTATAGTGAATGGCTATGGTACCCTGAGAAGGACCTTCTTTTCAGTGTTGAACTGAGACAAGATACCATAGATGATAGAAGATCCATGAGAAGATAGCATCTCCTCTTTGGACAGAGAGTCCTTCTAAGCTGAGGGTTCTGGCTTTTCCCAGGGACATAACTCTTCTGTGATTCACTCTCTGTTTTCCCTATTTGCTCATCTTAAACTGGCTTGTCAGTTGATTTGAAGATCCAAAATTCTGATACCCACATGTTATAAAGACATCTGGTTTTCTAAAAGTCAAAATCAAAAGATCAGTCGTCAGGTACCTTGTAGGATTCTGAATCATTTTCTATTATTGAACATTTTAAAAAACGAACTAAGAGATTAAAACTTCCTGGATGTCTACAGACAACAGAATAACATCAAATCAATGCATACTTTGGAGGCAAAACCAACTAATGCATGCCTGTTCTTTATATGAGCACCAGAGTAGGGACTTGGCAAATGGATAAGAGCTTGGCAAATGGATAAGAGAGAACTTTTCATGTTCACATCATTACATCTTCATCATCAAAATTTCTGGCTCAGAGTGCAAGCTTCAAAATTATAATAAATCAACAAATGAAAAGAGAATTAGCCTATTCATGCATTACCTGAGAGTAATGTGATAAGGAAACAATATTCTCCTTGTTAACCCCAAACTTTCCATGCTCATAATGAGAATTGCTTCTTTATTAGTTTGCAGGAAGAATTAAACATGAATTCATTCATTCACTCTTTTATTCAAAAATGTTTTCTGCAATTCCTTCATATGACATGAAACTGTGTATTGTGAGTAGACACCACAAGAGAATCTACTTTAAATATTGCTTTTATTTCAGATGTCTGCCCTGTTAAGCTGCCATGCAGCATGTGGTGTAAGTGTCATTGTGGGGGTACCTCCTAACGCCCAAAACCTCTCGGTGAACCCCATGTTGCTGTTGCTGGGTCACACCTGGAAAGGAGCAATATTTGGTGGTATGTATTTATAGCTAAGATCAAGTTCTGCTTGTCTTCTGTCAGGGTGGGCATGTGGATGTGTTTGGAGGTCACAGGACATTTGATGTCCTTACTTGGGAGCCATCTGTCTTGTTCTTTGAGACAGGGGGCCACAGTGGCCCGAGGCTCACAGTCAGGTTAGATGTCCTGGCCAGCCAGTCCCAGGAATCTACCAGTTCTTCTCTCCAGACTTGGAATTACAAGCTCCCCAGCACTGAATCATCTGTTTATATTTACTATGTTTTCTCTGTTTGTTTTGTTTTTTATTCTAAAGATCATACTCCCCTCCTGTGGCAACCCCTCCCTCTGTCTCTTACAAGCCCACCCCCAAACTATTCCAGAGAACTGAAGTTATTGAAATGAACTCTTAAAGTTATACCAGGGATTCTGAAGTATAGAACTTCACAGTTGGTGGCTTTTGATGGGGTAGAGGTGGGAAGGGACTCGGTTTTCTTTTAGGGTTTGGCCACAGGGACTTTGACCACACTACAGTGAGTATAGGGCAACACAAATTGAACTTGGTATATTTTTCCCCTCTTGGGAGAGGCCACAAGTTTGTGGGGGTGAACCCAGGAGGACGGGGGAGATATTGTAATCAGGGTGCATTATGTAAAATTCCCAGATAATCAATAAAGATATTATGCCAGAAAACAAACAAACATAGAACTTTATTAACTGAGCCATCTCTCCTCAAGTTTGTGGTTCAATTTCTCAATTTCTTCCCTTTTAAACATAAAAAATAAGATATTAGAAGACAACATGTTTTAAAAACAAGAAAATCACTGTTCTCACTATAGCAAGAACTGATGCATGAAATCCCAAGACAGGCTTCTCTGTCCCCACAAACCAGCCAGAGCTTTTCTGCCTGCATCCTCTTGTGTCTCTGAGAGGCCCCAAACTGCCTCATAGGATGCAGAAAACCCAAGGCAGAGTTTATGCCTGTGCTCATTACCTGAATCTGGACAGCTCCCTTCCTCTGAGTACAAACATCCACAATGTAATTTCCCTTGGAAGAACTAATAACCTCATTGGCCAGAGGCCCTGTGTGTCAGGTGACATCATGAGAATGTTGGTGCAGGGCAGGAGGAGTTGGAGCCTCTGGACTTCTGCACTTTTAGGACCTTTGGTGCCTTGGGAAGTCTCCTGTCTAACTCCCCGGCCTGCAGTGACTGCATCTCACAGTGATGCTGCTCTCCTTCCAGGGTATAAGAGTAAAGATGCTGTCCCCAAACTTGTGGCTGACTTTATGGCTAAGAAGTTTCCACTGGAACCATTAATTACCCATGTTTTACCTTTTGAAAACATAAATGAAGCATTCGATCTGCTTCGTGCAGGAAAGAGGTAAGCTTTAACAGTATATTTATAGGTGATGGGTAGGGAAAATATTATTATTATTACTATCATTATCATTTTTGGTTTTTCAAGACAGGGTTTCTCTGTATTGCCTTGAAGTCTTTCCTGGAACTCGCTCTGTACACCAGGCTGGCCTCAAACTCATAGAGATCCGCCTGCCTCTGCTTCCCAAGTGCTGGGATTAAAAACGTATGCCACCAAAGCCCAGCTAAAAAATATCATTTTAATGACAGGAGAAATGGTTCACAAAAAATAAGTAGAAATGGGGACAAGAACAAATATGGGGTCCCTGGCTTCTGTCACCAGTTCAGGCTCTACACACAGATGTGTGAGTTTGGGCAATTTACAAACCTAAGCCTCAGTTTTCACAGTTCTCAAATGGAGAAAATATGATAGCCTACCTTATAGTGCTGCTGTTCAGAATGAAGTTTAAATGAAACAAAGACTAAAAAGTTTCAACAAACTCTGTGGTAAATAGCAAAAATAAATATTATTGTTCACTGTGGCAGGTCTTACACCAGGCTTGCAGGTTTTATATTATTTAAGAATTCTAACTGTGAAGCAAAATCTAAATGGCAGTCATAGTAAGATGTTCTGTGTGAGTTTAGAGCAAGAGAAGGCATGAAAGATCAGAAGAAGGTGGACTGCCAATTCACCCTCGTCACAGGGACGGGCATGGAATGGTTGGAAACTTGGATGGATTTTTATTGAGACTTGTGACACATGCTTTATTCACTCACATGTGCAAACAACATCTTATGTTTCATATTTCAGTATCCGCACTGTCCTGACGTTCTGAGACCATAGTGACGCCTTCCTACTGCTGACACCTCCACCCCACTAAATCACAGCACCAGTCACATCACAGCGTTGATTTTGTTCCTCAGAAGAACTGACAATAAAGTACTCACGCAAGCATTCCACATGAAACTGGATTTTCTATGAAAGTGTTTTCAACCCTAAGCGAGAGCTATCACACCTCAGCTGGGGAACTGGTGGGTACCAGTCTTCCTTCTGATTTGAAGGACCTAGGCCATCTTTCCTACTGGGGACAGTACATCTTGTGACATCTTGCATGCTTTTCTCTCTGGAATCCACAGTCACAGGAACTCAGTGGAGCAGAGAGATCTTTCTGTGCAGGTACACACAGGATCTGTGAGCTCAGCCTTCCAACCACACTTTCCACTGTCTGTACTTTATTCCTCATGAAATATGTGAGGATCGGGTAAAAGCGCAGCATGTCAGGGAACATGGAACTGCTATCTTAAATTAGAACAAGTCTGAAATTCTGACTCAGCACTTCCAATAATAATAGTATGTGATAGATGGGCTGCAAGTTATACATGTGGTGTTTAACAAGCAGGCTGCTACAGGACTAGAGAGCCAGGCCACAGTTCCAAGAATGCTATTCCAGACATGAAGAAATAACAGATTGATATTTGTTAATTTCCTATGTGCACTTATCATTCATTCTGTTACCGATGCTGTTATAACCATACTGAGAATTCCCTTTAAATATTAAAGTAACAACTTCCATCCTGATAAGTTAAATGTCTATCAATTTCTAACAATATTCAAGAAGTGGATCATAAGTAAACAGAAAAAAATGGTGAAGTAAGAATGATAAATTGAGGGAAGTTTAGCTGAAATCAAATATTCTTCTTAGGAGATCTATGTGTCCTTGTATGAACAGGTATGTGAAGTTTGTGGAAGTATGTGTACTTGTATGAACAAGTATGTTGATTTTGGAGAAGTATCTGCACTTGAATGGACAGTTATGTGGACTATTAAGATATGAGTACACTTGTATAAACAGGTATGGTGTCTTTGAATATGTATGTGCACTTGTCCGAACAGGTTTCTGAACTTTTGGACATGTATGTGCACTTATAAAGAAAGGTATGTCCACTTTGGAGATGTTTGTGCCCTTGTAAGAATAGGTATGCTGACTTTGGAGCCATGTGTGCTCTTGTATGAAAATGTATGTTTACTTTGGAAATGTGTGTGCACTTGTAGGGACAGGTATGTGGACTCTTGAGATGGGTGTGCACATGGATGAACATATATGTGGACGTGGCTTGCTCATTTCATTCACTTGGGTCAGGGTCATAAAAAAGTGTGCCTGGCACTCATATACTCATCAACAGAGCCTGCTGGTTTCTCAGTATCTCACAAGACTAAATCAGAGCAAACTTAGGGAGACAAAAAGAACTGGTTTCTTCACCTCAGGCTGCTCCTTCAAATATCCATCATGTCTGTAACACAGTATCATTTAAGTATGAAGTCTGATTAGCCAGATCACTAGATACACACACACACACACACACACACACACACACACACACACACACACACGAGTCTAAGAACCTCTTTACATCATCCCAGCCCCCTTGCAACTTCTCCATTGGGGCTGGGGATCTGAACTCAAGTCCTCATGCTTGCACAGTTACCACTTTACAAACTGAGCCCTCCCCACAGTCCATCACCAGCTAATTCTCATCTAAATATGGTATTTAAAGACACTTCTCACCCAGATGCCAGTAACAAACAGATATCAAGCTGCCTTAAAGTAATAAAAAAAAAGTGTTTGAAACAAGGAGATTCTTAGTTGGTTGTAAAGGTGAATAACAATGTCACATAGGTGATGCCACATTGCAGGAAAGGAGCCAGGAAGACTCTTAGAAATAACGTTAAAAATGAAGTTTTCTTCTGAAGCTTCAGAAAAATTTAAACAGTGTGAAAGCTAGAGTGAGGTAAACCCTTCATCAACAGAGAGATGGAGGAGACAAGTAATGAGACATGGTAATAATTACGTTTGGCAATGCACTGGATACATTTAAATACCCACAAACTTTTCAAATGGAATTGTCTGTACCAAATCCCAAACTAAGAACCAGAGAAACTGTTATTACCAAGTAGAATGATGTCTACCCTAGCTCTCTCTTTGCTTGGTGGGAGGGAGGCACATATCTCTGACCTCACTTGAAAATGGAGTTGCTGACTCTGAGTTCCTGCGGGCAAGATCCTTGACCCCCAAATCCAGGCCTCTGCTAAAGAAAGAGGCCTCAGCTGGAGAGTTCCAGTTTCCAGTGAGATCCAACTATCATGCAAAACCTTCCCAAGTTCCAGCTCAGCCCTTGTCCTCTTCCACCAGCTATTGGCCAGAGGTGAGTCTGGGCCCAAATGGGGCTGCCTGTCCCCTACAACCTCTCCTCCCCCCGCCCGAACTCCCTGGGTTGGCCCCTGATCCTGCTGCTCCTGTCCCCTGTCCCCATTGAGAAGACCCTTGGAGGTCTGATACACCCCCACCCATCCCCACTGCGAGCCTACCCCCCTACCCTGTGCCCTACCCTATCCACGGTCCTGCGGTCCTGCGGCTCTGGTTGAACACTGGGTCAGAGGGTGGAGCCAACAGTCCACCCTACTTCGGAGACTTCTAGGAGAAACTCTGAACAAAGGAGACCTGACTATCCACGCGGGACCACTTGTAATTTCCGCCTGCTTGGTCTCTGACCCCACCTCCAGTCCTCTGCTGGAATCCCAGGCCCCTCCCAGAGATCCGACTATCTCTGTGGGACCACTGTGAGTACCTGCTGGCATCTTCTTCTGGATCCTCATCCTTGACCACATCCCTGTCTGTGGAGAAACCTCCTAGAGAGCTTGGACCACACAGAGCTACAGATATTGAATCTCAGACGCACATAAGCCCATCGGGGAAGTACCATAGAGAGAGGGGGAGACCCGACCAACACCTACTGGAAGAAGCTATGGGAAGAAGGCAATACAAGAGAACACCTAACAACAGAAAGACAAGCATGACACCACCAGAATCTAGGGAAACTACACCAACTAGAATGGAACACAACAACAAAGCAGAGGAAGCAGAAGGGAATGACTTAAAAATTACCATCATAAAAATGACAGAGGCCTTCAAAGAATATGTGAGAAAATCCCTTAAAGAAATGGAGGGAAAAAAACAAAACAAAAACGTGGAAGAAATGAACAAATTCTTTAAGGAAAGTACAGAAAACCAAGAAAAAACAATTAAGCAGGTGAAGGAAACAGTTCAAGACTTGAAAACTGAAATAGAAAAAATACAGGCAACACAAACTGAAGGAATGCTGGAAATAGAAAAGCTGGGCAAAAAATCGGCAACTACAGACACAAGCATAACCAACAGAATTCAAGAGATGGAAGAGAGAATCTCAGGCGCAGAAGATAAACTAGAAGAAATAGATTCATCGACCAAAGAAAACCATAAATCCAACAAATCCTTAACACACAACATCCAGGAAATGTGGGACACCATGAAAAGGCCAAACCTAAGAATAATAGACATAGATGTAGGTGAGGAAGCCCAGCTCAAAGGTGCTGAAAACATATTCAACAAAATCATCGAGGAAAACTTTCCAAATCTGAAGAAGGACATGCCCATGAAAGTACAAGAAGCATATCGAACCCCAATAAGGCTGGACCAAAGAAAAAAGACCCCTCAACATATAATAATCACAACACCTAGCATACAGAATAAAGAAAGAATATTAAGAGCAGTGAAGGAAAAAGGACAGGTAACATATAAAGGCAGACCTATCAAAATTACACCTGACTTCTCCATGGAAACCCTCAAGGCCAGAAGGTCCTGGATAGATGTTTTAAAAGTATTAAGAGAACACGGATGCCAGCCTAGGCTACTATATCCAGCAAAATTCTCAATTAATATAGATGGAGAGAACAAGATATTTAATGACAAAACCAGATTTTCCCAATACGTATCTACAAATCCAGCCCTACAGAAAGTATTGGAAGGAAAACTCCAACCCAAGGAAGGTAACTACGCCCATAAAATGTAGGCAACAGATAATCCAACTACAACAGAATCCAAGGGTACAGCAGAACTAATATATTCACAATACCACTGCCAACGACAAACCTAAATCAAACAAGCATCAACAATCAATGGTCCTTACTCACCCTCAACATTATTGGTCTTAACTCACCTATAAAATGACACAGGCTAACAGAATGGATACGAAGACAGAATCCATCCTTCTGCTGCATATAAGAAACACATCTAAGATTCAAAGATAGACATTACCTCAGAGTAAAGGGTTGGGAAAATATTTTCCAATCAAATGGAAATAAGAAGCAAGCAGGCGTAGCTATCCTAATATCTAACAAGTTAAATTTCAAACCAAAATTAGTCAAAAGAGATGAAGATGGTCATTTCATATTTATCGCAGGAGAAATCCATCAACACAAAGTCTCAGTTCTGAACATCTATGCCCCTAATACAAAGTCACCCATTTTCGTAAAAGAAACACTACTAAAACTCAAAGCTCATATTAAACCTCACACGCTTATAGTGGGAGACTTCAATACACCACTCTCAACACTAGACAGGACCACAAATCAGAAACCCAACAAAGAAACAAAAGAATTAACAGAAGTTATGTCTCAACTGGGGTTAACAGACATCTATAGAACATTCCATCCAAAGACAAAAGAATATAACTTCTTCTCTGCTCCACATGGAACCTTCTCTAAAATCGACCACATACTAGGTGACATAACAAACCTCAACAGATACAAGAGAATAGGAATAGTCCCCTGTATCTTATGGGACCACCATGCTTTAAAATTGTAATTCAACAACAACACAAATAGCAGAAAACCTCCAAACTCATGGAAACTGAACAATGTGCAATTGCACCACTCCTGGGTCAAAGAAGAAATAAAGAAAGAAATTAAGGACTTTCGAATATTCAACGAGAATGAGGATACAACATACCCGAACCTATGGGACACCTTGAAAGCAGTGCTACGAGGGAAGTTCATTGCACTAAGTGCCCATATGATAGTCA